CTGTTGGTTGATTCTATGCTTGGCTAGCTGTCAGGTGGTCCATGAAACAGTGTCCCCTGTTGGTTTATTCTATGTTTGGCTAGCTGTCAGTGGTCCATGAAACAGTGTCCCCTGTTGTGGCGGGTCGTTGATCTAAAAAGGTTGAGGCACACCGGTCTAAGACATACAGTGTAGGACAATCCTTTCCCGTACAGGACTGTAGGTGGCACCGGATTGGTTAGCCGCTACTTGTGCTCTCGTGATAACTTTCTTGCAGGTTGAGATTCTTTAGTCTGACTGCGTCAAACTCCGAGGTCCTGTTGGTCTGCTTTTTTCGCAGATTCTTTAATCACACGGTGTCAAACTTCCAGGTCCTGTTTGTCTGCTTTTTTCGCAGATTCTTTAATCACACGGTGTCAAACTTCCAGGTCCTGTTGGTCTGCTTATTTCGCAGATTCTTTAATCACACGGTGTCAAACTTCCAGGTCCTGTTGGTCTGCTTATTTCGCAGATTCTTTAATCACATGGTGTCAAACTTCCAGGTCCTGTTGGTCTGCTTATTTCGCAGATTCTTTAATCACATGGTGTCAAACTTCCAGGTCCTGTTGGTCTGCTTATTTCGCAGATTCTTTAATCACACGGTGTCAAACTTCCAGGTCCTGTTTGTCTGCTTTTTTCGCAGATTCTTTAATCACACGGTGTCAAACTTCCAGGTCCTGTTGGTCTGCTTATTTCGCAGATTCTTTAATCACATGGTGTCAAACTTCCAGGTCCTGTTGGTCTGCTTATTTCGCAGATTCTTTAATCACACGGTGTCAAACTTCCAGGTCCTGTTGGTCTGCTTATTTCGCAGATTCTTTAATCACACGGTGTCAAACTTCCAGGTCCTGTTTGTCTGCTTTTTTCGCAGATTCTTTAATCACACGGTGTCAAACTTCCAGGTCCTGTTGGTCTGCTTATTTCGCAGATTCTTTAATCACATGGTGTCAAACTTCCAGGTCCTGTTGGTCTGCTTATTTCGCAGATTCTTTAATCACACGGTGTCAAACTTCCAGGTCCTGTTTGTCTGCTTTTTTCGCAGATTCTTTAATCACACGGTGTCAAACTTCCAGGTCCTGTTGGTCTGCTTATTTCGCAGATTCTTTAATCACACGGTGTCAAACTTCCAGGTCCTGTTGGTCTGCTTTTTTCGCAGATTCTTTAATCACACGGTGTCAAACTTCCAGGTCCTGTTGGTCTACAAATTTCGCAAAGATTCTTTGGTTTCACAGTGTCAAACCTCTAGGTGTGCCATCCAGAGTGAGATCTTCTTATCTTAGAGTGTCAGACTTTTCAGGCATCGGCACGGAGGGAAAAAACGGCACGCAGATACTCTTGGCATAGAAGTATGATTGTAAGGTATTTGCTATGGCAGCTGGGTTTATTCTGTAAGCAAAGTCACCAGGCGTCTAAGTGTCGGCTTTGAGATGATGCCGACAATTAATTCCCAATTCACTGAACCCTTTGTAACCGTAATAAATTTAAGCCTTGTAATCTCAAAAATTGTCAGTGTATCATCATCATCGGGTGCCTTGCCGACTGGCGTAGGTGATCATGCCTCTCCATAGTCTGCGATTTCCTGCAGCATGTATCAGTTCGTGTGCCGACACACCTCCATGCCATGTAACAAGACTGTCAAGCATCTTCTCTCGTTGTCTTCCTCTATCTCTCCTTCCACAGATCTTTCCAGTGGTCACAACATGTTCTATTTTCCCTCTTCTCATAACATGGCCGAAAAATGGTGACTGTCTCCTTCTGATGTCTGTGATAAGTTGTCTACAGGCTCTCGCCTCTTTTAAAACCTTATGGTTGCTCTTTATGTCTGTCCAAGGTATTCTAAGCATTCTTCTGTAAAACCACATCTCTAAGGCCTCTAGAAATTGTTTGGCCTGCCTACCTATTGTCCAGGATTCACAGTAATATGTTAAAACTGGTTGTATGTAGCAAGCAAGAATTCTTTTTCTAACTCTCAATGACAAGGATATATTGCACCAGATGTTTTTCATTTTATAAAAAGCAGTGTATACATAAGTTAAAACCTCCAAATATCTTGGCCCCCACATATGCAACGATATCAGCTGTACCAAAAAGATCAAGACAAGACTTGATAGGACAGCTGAATACGATGTGGAAGAGCAAAATCAGCATCGCAGTTAAGGTCAATATTTACAAATCACTGGTATTGTCTATTTTCTTGTACGGATGTGAGAGTTAGACTCTCGCTGTGGAAATGGAAAGGAGGATTCAGGGTTTCGAATGTAAATGCTACAGACACATTTAACTAATTAATTAAAAAGAACATAAAACTAATAAATATGTCAGAGACAAAATATACAAATTTGTGGGACATCAGGAGCCTCTTTTGGCAGTGGTGAAACGTTGCAAGCTAGCTTGGTTTGGGCACGTGGTGAGACCTGATTCGATTGCAAAGACATTATTACTTCAAGGAACATTTTGGTGGTGGTGGTGGTGGGGGGGGGGGGGGGGGGGGGGGGTTAGTCGAAGAGGAGGAGAGCAAAGAAGAACCTGCAATGACAACATCAAGAAATGGACAGGACTAAGTTATTATACACTTTTTCTAGGCAAATTTACGTCCAGTAGTTTGCCATTGCTTTCCGGACGGTCGGCTTTCTTGATACCACTGTCGAAACCAACGCAAGGAGCATGGCCCGCAGCTGGGACCGAACATATAGATAAACAGACGCAGATTTAAATCGAATAATCAGCATGAGTTCTGAGTAATGGAAACTTTTCCAAACATCAAATTGCAGTCGTGTCACTCTCAGTTGGAGATCTTCGGCATTAATTCCCCACGAGTTGCGGATGCACGAAGCAGGACCCTATTTGACACCCGAAGCGGTAAAAGATGACATCAAGAAGAAGAAGAAGAGTTGCGGATTTTTTAATATATATCGGATAGGCTATCAAAATAATGACTCGTGGGAAACTTTGGCAGTGAACTTTACTACTGTTCACATGCAGTCTTTTGGTGGGAAACTTTGGCGGTGAACTTTACTACTGTTCACAGGCAGTCTTTTGGTGGGAAACTTTGGCTGTGAACTTTACTACTGTTCACGTGCAGTCTTTTGGTGGGAAACTTTGGCGGTGAACTTTACTACTGTTGACATGCAGTCTTTTGGTGGGAAACTTTGGCTGTGAACTTTGCTACTGTTCACGTGCAGTGGGAAACTTTGGCTGTGAACTTTACTACTGTTCACGTGCAGTCTTTTGGTGGGAAACTTTGGCGGTGAACTTTACTACTGTTGACATGCAGTCTTTTGGTGGGAAACTTTGGCTGTGAACTTTGCTACTGTTCACGTGCAGTGGGAAACTTTGGCTGTGAACTTTACTACTGTTCACGTGCAGTCTTTTGGTGGGAAACTTTGGCGGTGAACTTTACTACTGTTCACGTGCAGTCTTTTGGTGGGAAACTTTGGCGGTGAACTTAATGATTGTTCCACACACGGGCAGTTTTTTTCGTACTGACCCACTTTACGATCAACAACAAGATGGTAGCGCCTTCACTGCGATCATACGGTGCCAACATAAATGAGCTGTCACTTCAGACACCGACGTTTGAGTCTTTAAGCAGTGTTTCCATGCAAATGTCGACTAAAGTTGCTTCAATTCCCCATCTTCAGCAGCCAGAACAGAGTTTCAGTACAACTGGTGCCAGTTACGCGCAAACTGAAGCTTCATCTTTCCTTTCCTCGGAACTTTGGGTCTCTGCCAGATTATGTGTCGATCATGCTTCGCATAACTGTTCACAGTCCGAGTTGATATGTCCAGTCTTTGGGCTCAGTTTGTATTTCGTGAAAGTGACCCTTTATCTTCGGCTGGTAACGCTCATAACATTTTTATTATTATTTTAAATACTTGTTATAAACTCTTTTGCAGCAGTTCAATTGCAGACGTCACCGGGACCGACCATTAATGTATAACGTCGGCATTATTTAGTCAGATCTGAGACTAACTAACTTATCCGTAATTCTTGTAATCGTTTCACGCTTCTCGGCATTGCACAAGATGGTGATGGGCTGAGCCTATCCCCGAACACCGCCTCAACATTCACACAATACGACCGCAAATTCGGCTTCGGAAGGCACTGTGCCCTTTGAAAGTCGAACAGACAAGATAGCAGGGTGGATCTTCCTGCATCTATCTGCAGCTTGCGCAAGCACCGGCCTGCAAGTATCTGATTATATTTGTAGACTGAAATTTCTACCAGAAGAAGATTTGTTATTTAGCGGAACTTGTTTACTGTGGCAGGCGCGCATTCTTTGTGAGAAACTCAGATACGATATCTAAGTGTACTGTCTGTACTATCTCAGACTCTAAATGTACTGTCTGTACTATCTCAGGCTCTAAACGTGCTGTCTGTACTATCTCAGGCTCTAAACGTGCTGTCTGTACTATCTCAGGCTCTAAACGTGCTGTCTGTACTATCTCAGGCTCTAAACGTGCTGTCTGTACTATCTCAGACTTCACTTCATATTAGTACAGTGATGCTCTTTTAAGACTTCTAATAAGGAAAATATAATTGTATAAATATTGCTAAGACAAAACATCACATACTGTAATGCCTCAAACATAAAATGTTTTAGCCCTATTAAAATACATGATCTAACAAAAACACTCTGGATGGGAAAGTGTAAGCAAACCGACAAGAGGCAGACAGGGACACAACTGTGGGGATAATATTAAGATAAGACAAACAACATGGCCGCTAAGCTTATAGAAAAAGTAATCAGTAAACGTTGACAAACTACTTTGATAATTACAGACTGCGTACTGTTTCAACTTAAAACTGAACACTGTGCTCTTGATTATTTGGGAAATTATTTGTATAAAGATTGCTGTCAGCGTGGATGTTACCTGGGTGGGGGTGGGGATGGAGGGGGGGGGGGAGGCTGTGGCAGTATGTGGAGACGGAAGCCTTGAGGTTTACTGTACGACATTGAAAACTGTATCTTTGCTCCTGTCTATGAGACCATGCTTTGGTAGTGTCTTCTATCCTCTGCACTGAAGTAGAGTGGAGGAATGATCCTGACGCTAGTTGTATTGTATGTCCGTGTTGCGCCAATATTTCCCATCTTGCTCATCATACTTTCATCGTACTCTTCTATCTGGGGACAAGGAATAACCAAAATTAATGCTGGTAAACGTATATTTTAGATGTATTATTGTTACCAGGTGACATAAAACATCCTTTCTATTGTGAATGATTACACTTCTCGACCAACATCCGTCCCATCATAGACAAATGTGAGCAGTTAATATATCCATCCGTACCTGCACAGGAATGCATGGCATAGCTTGGCACAGCTATTCAACTTTACCAATTATAACTTTTTGGAGTTCATTGCTTCTTTGGAAATGCTTTGTTGGTTTGCCATCAAGGGTGCGACTCTTGACTTCGCACGGGTGGTCAGGCTTGCAGGCAGCAGCCCGGACAGAATAACAGGCAACCCACTTCTATTTTAAAGTCTTTACAAACAAACACACACGCGCGCGCGCGCACGCACGCACACACACACACAACACAGCTCTGTTGTAAACGCCAGTTATGGTAACAAAACCAAACATTTCATTCTCTCTCGTAATAGTCAATCTTGCACCACACTATATTTATTGTAAGGTTTTAACGCACACAGATACATGCCCAAATACGCGCGCGCACACACACACAAACAATGATATGACATTGATATTTCCAAGAACTTGTTCACCACCTTCCTTTATTTCCATATGAATAATACCAGAAGGAATCGTGATCTACTGTTCACTTAACAGATTTCAGATGCATTGAATGACGAATATTCATTGCTTTAGAATGTATACTGTATGATGTATGCATTACATTTTAATACAGCTTCAAAGTTGTGTTCTTCGACTTTTTGTGAACAGTCTCTCCCCCCCTCTCTCTCTCTCTCTCTCTCTCTCTCTCTCTCTCTCTCTCTCTCTCTCTCTCTCTCTCTCTCTCTCTCTCTCTCTCTGATATATAAACTCAGTATGTTTAATATAAAAAATACAGTTGCCAATTTAAAGATGAATGCCTGGAAGGACCAAATGTATTGCATTCCTAATTTGTAACCCTATGGAAATAAATTTTATTTGTTCGTTCGTTCGTTCTCTATCTCTCACACACAAGAGTTACAATTCTATTCTAAAAGACTTGAACGAATGTCTGGTACACAGCCCGATATACTCCCAGGTAAAGCCTACATAACTTCTGTGTTCAGTAACAATACCATCTGTGGTTGATTTCAATATAATACTATGTTTACTTATAACGAGATGAATACATTAATACATCAACTTACCATAGTATCTCCTTCAGGCCAGGAGGGTAGCGCTGTATGTACTGGGGAGGGAAGAGTGGCTGCTGAAGCTGTAGACAAGGGTCTCGCAGTGGAAGACACGGAGGCTGTGGACATCTTGCTGGACATGGACATAGTTCGTCGACGAAAAGGCCTTTGGGATCTGTCTGCTCCCAACTCCGACTCCAAGTCATCCTAGTACCAGAAAGAGAAATATTTCTGTCAGACGTTTATCATAGTCATTAAGGACGCTTGGTAACCCGGTTACGAAGTTTAGTCAGCCACATTGCATATATTGAAAATAATTTTCATAGCAGATTATTTTGTTTGATATATGTTAATTTATCTGTTTATTGTGCGCGCGCGCGTGTGTGTGTGTATATTTGTGTGTGTACTTGTGTGTGTGTGTCTATTTTAATTGTTCTCGAAGAGTCGAAGAAGCCTCGGGGAAAGTTGTATTTAGCTTTTTTCGTGACTCATACCATCTCTACAGGTAAAGGTTGTCAGCCCAGCAACAAGACCCCAGTCACCAGAAGCCACTCAACTGGGAAGAATCTATACGTAACGGCTGATAAGGCCACGAAGGAATTGAGGAAGAACAGGGTCAGATCTGCGCAAGCCACTCTGGAGGAGTCAAATAGAGAAGAGCTATTTGAATCAAGGACAATTGATGAGGACGAACTAAACGTGACGATCACGCAATGGGAGGAAAGCAAGAACTACTTGCAGCCCTAACAGTAGATTAGATGATCCAGGCGATTGTAGCAGGGCTAGAGAAGAGAGCAGTATTACGGTGCACCAAAAACCAGAGGGGTTACATACTGGCTACACTAAAAAAAAACCCACTAAAACAGAAGAAATGATGCGGGCAATACTAGATACTCAAGACAGGATAATCATGGATCGGCCACACGAAATTAGGATCTCTATAAATATGAACAGACCAACAGTAACCATAGTCACCAACAGTGTGCCATTAACCACTGATACGGACAGAATTGTGGATGACTTGAAGAGCGAGAACCCAGGCATCGAATTCTTTCAAGTAGACAATCATCTAGATAGAACCCCACCACATTAATTAGGGTTACATGTGGGGTATAGGGAGCGGCAGCTCCAGAGCACATCATACTACATGGTAAGACAAAGTTGGTTGAATTTTATATTCCTGTTAGACCGCATTGCGAAGATGTTCACATTTTTTCCCCACAGCCGGCAGCAGTGTCAGGCCAAGGAGCCCACATGTAGATTTTGTGGAAAGCAACACTGCTATAGCTAGTGCTGCAAGGCTGGGGTCGATAGAGAGTTCAACAAGCAGAATCCTGAGCGATGCTGAATCAACTGCAAGAGAATTCACAGCACACGATATCTAGGCTTCCCTGAGAGGACACAAAGGGTGAATAATGTAGAAGGAATCTGCTGTTACATTATGACCTTGCCATAACAACAACAATCAAAAAGATTGCTCAGCAAGTCGCCCAACAAGGTCCTATCATGGATAAGAGACACAGGCTATACGGGCACACTGAAGCAGAATGATGGAGGACATGATATCAGGAAACACCCATTACACCCACAACCCTGTTCGCCATACCCCATTCTATCCGGTCACACCCACCCACTGAATCCTCCCACCACATAATCATTATCATCAATTCTCTTTATGCTTAGTGGCACACGAGGCTTCAGAGGGTACTTTCCATACTTTCCTGTCCTGCGCAATCTTCAGTGCAGTTTTCCATGTCAGAGATGCCGCATTTAGGTCTCTCTCCATTGTTTTTGGGCGCCATTTCTTTATCTTTCCCTCTGGTGTCCATGCAAGAGCTGTTTTGGCAGGTATATCAGGATTAATTCTCATAACGTGGTCAAGTCATTTCCATCTTCTCTTGGTTATCCTACTTTCTAGAGTTTCTTCGTTTGTGAATTGAAGTATTTTATTGGTTGAGATTGTATCTGGCCAGAAAATGTTGATAATTCTACGTATACATGTGTGGTGGAAGGTGGACATCTTGTGTGCATCTTTTTAGTAACTCTCCAGCATTCCGCTCCATAAAGAACAACTGGCAAAAAATGTTCTTGTAGTGTCGAAGTTTCGTTCCTCTGCAGTAACCGTTGGATTTCCAGATTTGCCTCATCCTTCCAAAAGCAGCTCTAGCTTTGTTCAGGCGTGACTGTATGTCCTTTTCAGTCCCTCCCAGTAGGGACACCACACTACCAAGATATGTGAAATGTTCTACATTTTCAAGTGTTTGGTTACTTATGGTCACTGGTTGTTGGTTGGAACTGTTTGTCACGATCTTAGTTTTCCTTGTCCACCCACCACAAGTCCCACATCATTAGCCCCCACCACTCCCCCACTCTACCTATCACTACCTTATCTCACCTTTCAGGCAGCCGTCCGTCACCGTCCTGCTACTCACCTTCTCCAGATCTATGACCTATTAGCCTTTCCCACCCGCCCATACACCCGCCCATACACCCGCCCATACACCCACCATACACCCACCCATACACCCACCCATACACCCACCTATACACCCACCCACACACCCACCCATACACCCACCCATACACCCGCCCATACACCCACCCATACACCCACCCATACACCCACCCATACACCCGCCCATACACCCGCCCATACACCCGCCCATACACCCACCCATACACCCGCCCATACACCAGCCCATACACCCACCCATACACCCGCCCATACACCCACCCATACACCCGCCCATACACCCGCCCATACACCCGTCCCAACGAAATTGACCGATATTCTAAAGGAGACAAATTTAAAAAAAAAAAAAAAGGATGACAGTAGGATAAGAAACTAAAGGTCGTAACTGAAGCTTAGCATTAAAACACTAACCGAGTCATAAACAGCCAAAGTGAACACGGGTAAAGACGACTTACAGATAATTTATTGGAACTATAGGAGTGTGAAGGCTAATTTAAACTGAATGCTCAAGCATATAGGGGTGAGAACAACATCATAGCCGTTCAGGAAACATGGCTTAAAACAAGCCAGTTTAAGATGCAAAGGCTACGAAACAATAAGAAATGAAAGAAAAGATGGTACAGGAAGGAGAGAGGTAGCAATCCTAATTGGCAAAGAACATAAATTAATAAAAATAAATATATAAACACTTGCTCCAGCTTCTGCTTTTTCATTTTTGGATCCATCTGTATTTATTTTCAGGTTATCAGTCTCAATGTTTATAATGTGCTCCGCTGCTATAGTCCTTACTTGTGGATCAGTAGTGGCTGAGTAGTCTTGAAGTATGGCATCCGCCTCGATTGCTGGAGGTCCCGGGTTCAAAGCCCGGTGAAGGCTGGGATTTTTTCACGTGGAATTCTAGAAATTAGCCCCGGTCTCTGGGTAGAAAGACCGGACGCCCGTGTGTATTGTGCGAACTTAAAACAAATCCCTTGGCAGTTGGAAATCGAAAAAATAGTAACATAGGGGCGCTGCTCAGGCAAAAGCTGCAGTTTAAAATCTACCCAAAGTATTTTAGGATCCTCGCCGGTGCTACGGAGTTTGAGCACTGCGCTGAGATTCTTCAGACAGACTTGAGTTAGAAGTAGAACGGAGCACTTATGGGTTATACTCGTGTGTCATGATGTTGATCCGTTACTGAAACAAACAAGTGGATCAGTGTTTTATGAATTCTGTTTTGCCAGGCCTATGTTTACACATGGTGGCTTCAATTCCCATAATGGTATCTGAGATTTATATCTCTTACTTAATTCAGGTGTTCTCGCTAGTTCCTCATTAGTATTCATTTCTACTGCAGCATCCCCTGCTGATGGCATAAGAACGTTTCTTATTGGCACCCCCTTGAACTTTTTTTAGTATTGGTGTTAAAAGCGTCACATACCAGATAATCATGACTGTGTGAGGTCTGAAGCCAGTAATTGTATATTAAACGCTTCCCTCTCAGATTGAACGGTACTCTACCAAGCGCTACTTCCATTACTTCTCTTGACATGCCTTTACCTGCACCCATAATGGTGGCCAGTGCTTGAACTGTATACTGTCTAGTTTTTGTTTTGCGCAGTCAGTTGCTGAGTCATAGATAATGCTTCCATATTCTAGTCTCCCTCTCATAATTTTTGTTTTTCAAATTGTAAGAGGGTGGCTCATAATACGGAGAACATGGTTTAGGATCTTTGCGATTTTCTGAAAATTTGATTCAGCTGCTGGGCCCCAAGCAGCTATCCCATATTCTAGTGTTGACCTCACATAGCCTGTATATATCCTCTTGAGGACACTAAGGTTTGACTTCAGTCTATTCCAGCTAACTTACTTATCAGCAGAGTTCTCTTGAGTCCCTTGCTCTGATTCTCTTCTGTCTGATTTCTCCGCGTAAGATTTGGGTCAAAGGTTATTCCTAAATACCACGGTGAGTCATCATGTTTCAGTGCCTGAATGCCATATGAAGTAAAACTTGCTGAGATTTAGTGGAAAGACTGAAAAGGGTGTGTGGGGTTTTGGTCCCATCTACAGGCATGCACCAAATATTGGATTCGGATGGATTCTTGAAGCCTTGTCTGTGCTGTGCTAGAATTTTCCTCTGAGCTCAGTAGCGCCAGATCATCGGCATAAATGACGGCTTGAACTCCATTTCAGGGGGTTGATTTTATGTCATTAACATATATGAGGAAAAGAACTGTGGACAGAACTCCTGCATGTGGAACTTCATGTTTCAGTGTCACTGATCTGCTCCTTGAACCCTGTATCTTGACTCGTGCAGATCGATATTCAAGGTATTTTACAATACACCTAAACATGTGATGGGATATTTCCACACTTTGTCGAAGGCCTTTTCCATACCCACCCAGAGCTCAACAGTGTGTTTCTTTTTCCTAAAAGGCATCTTCAAAGTGTTGAGGAATAAATGTAATCTGTTATTCTGTTCATTTACAACGTGGAAAACCTGCCTGTTCCTCCATAAGTTTGAAGTTCTTCTCTAGGAAACTGGTCATTCGGTTGTTCAATAATCTTTCAAATAGTTTGCACAGACAGCTAGTGAGATTGATGGGTCTGTAGCTGTCTGCGTTGTTCTTCGGCTTTCCTTGTTTCAGGATTACGAAGATTTCAGACTTTCTCCAGGCTGTAGGAACTACAGTAAAAATCCAGCTGTCATAAAAAATGTCTAGCAATTTGTTTTTTTAATTTTGACGAACAGTCGTGGCTCGCTAGGCACTTTTGGCGAGTTCCGATCTGCAAACAGGTTAGTCTGAGTCGGCCAAGTGCAGCGAGACCAAAATGTGAACAGGCTAACAACCAACCCACACCAGCCTGTAACAATCGGACTGCACAGTCTTGGTACCAAACACAAAATACAAATACTTACACAACTGGGTTATAGGTAACAAGTAACAGAAATTCCATTAATACACATATAATTCCGTTTTTATTGTACTGTTAATGTGCTAAGCAACTATGATCGAAATGTAATCAGTTTGTTAATATATTATATATTGTAAAATAATCCTTAAGACACGAGAAGTTAGTAGGATAAATTGCATAGATACTAATTATTCAGCTAGTTCTCAAGAAACTCTGTTGATGTTTAGTGCATGTTTAGAATGTTGGTACAACTATCATCATCATCACAATGTTTCATGCTGATAAATAAAGGTCGCCACGATTTGATATCTCACAAGATTACAGCAATCACACATAAAGTCTCCGTCGTTTTTTCTAGACATACCAAGCCATCCACCTATTTATAACTTTGTCTTGAGGTTCCCCCTTTTGTCTCTTTTGCTGTTTGCCAATGGTCACCAAGTTCTCAAGGGTAATTAATGTTTTTATCCATTTAAAATCATATGTAACAATAAATTGTCAACGTCTGTTTCTGATTAACATAGACGTTTACTCACCTCTTCTGAAAAAACAACAGCACTCTCAGACTCGTCAGCCTTGCGCCTTCTAAGATGCATCATCAACTCTCTGGACCTTTCCTTGAGCGCTTCAATCCTGGACATAAGCTGGGTGTCGTTGTGACTGATGTAGTGACTGGGCCCGCAGTCCAGCTGTACCTTTAAGTCGTGGAGCTCCTCCTCAACCAGGGACATTTCAAGTTGAATCTGAAACCATGAAACAGTCACGTCTTAATGTGGGTCTGAAATCATGAAACAGTAACATCTCAATGTGGGTCTGAAACCATGAAACAGCACCATCTCCGTTGAATATGAAACTACCGTGTTTTTTTTACCCTTTTCTTTCTTCCCGCTAGCACAAAATTGTGCCTAACGTGAGGCGCCGTTTTGTTCTAGAGGGGGAAAAAAATCACGGAATTAGGAAGCTAGTTAAAATTGTGATAGGACAAAAAGTAATAGTTCCCAACTGAGCAGCAGAAACAGGAAAGTAAAGAAAGGACAAGGATTCTTTTGCTATTAAGAAAAGGATAGACAGAAAGGCGACTGCAGGAGATCCCCTCCCTGGCACAACGCTCATTCTCAGTCCTCACTGTCCAAGAACTTTTCGGGCCCGCATCGGCCTCATCAGTCATCTTCGTACTCATACTTGATGAAAAAGAGTGGTTATCATCATCTTGATGGACAACACACACATGAAATCATATGTTCTTGGCCCAGGCAAAGGATATCTGTATGGGGAGTTACATAACAACAACCTAACTTTTGAATACATTCACCTAGGCAAAATACGTGCATGAACGAGCTCTGTCTTGAATCAAGCAACTGGAACTATTATGACCACATTAAAAAGCTATTTATTTTACTGAGCTGAACACAAAACTTAGCGATGTTTACAAATAACAAATCATTAATAATTATCAACGTGTCAATACTTCACTAATAAACTGAAAATCTCCGAGCGATAATACACACTGATATCTCTCTACACAGTCTAACTACTAGAGTCAAATTCAGATTTAACTGAAACATATCACCACTATGAAATCTGTCAGACAATGGGTAATCCCCCGCAATCGCCCGTACCTACGTTGTTTAGCCCAATGCGTGGAGCCTTAACAGCAGGGTGGGTCTCTTACCCTGAGTGACTGCGGCGTCAGAACCACGGAAGCCAAAATTAGGCTATTTTCCTGTGCGCGTCACTTTTTTTATACACAGTGGCCAGGTTTCTTCGCATGTGTAACCAAACTAAAATCAAGTTAAATTCCTCCTTGCATAGCTACAATAAGACCATGTTGGCCTACAACATATTGTTGTCACTGCTGGAAATTAGTACTGGAACACTTTCTTACTGGCACAACGTATATATATATATATATATATATATATATATATAGAGAGAGAGAGAGAGAGAGAGGGGGGGGGGGCCTAATTCAAGCTAGATGGGTATTTCTGCAAGACCCTAGTGTATATAGCAGTTCGCAGGTGACCTTTAGTGTGGACAGTATCGCACTGGCAATTTTACCTCTCAAAAATCTGCTGCCTATTGCACATGTGTGTCCACCTTGAGATGTGTGGTCATGGGTTGTCATATTGTATTCAGATCTGAATCCAGGACCAGAAGCAGGATTTCTACATTTAATTGCCGCATAAATATATAGCCTCACACATAACAGGGATTTAGATAGTCAATCAAATAGTATAAAGTGCCGTGACGAAATTCGAAACTGGATATTTAAGGACTGTCAGTATGTTCAGAATAGTTTAAATAAATGTATTGAATACCTGTCTAATTCCTATTGCAACTGATTACCAAAAATTCCAAGCTTGATCCTTTTTCAGCCGCCCGAAGGCTTGCTATATGAAGATAGGTTCCTTGGCTATCTTTTTTAGTTTCCTATTCTGAATACCTGCAGAGCAAGGAGATCACTTATGCAGCGATCCACGAGACGCCCACACACCACGGTAGTTCAGTTAGGTTAGGACAGTGTATACTGGGTAGAGAAGGTTAGAGGCAGCAGGTCAAAGCTGGTCAAAGGCCTGGCAATGAAGAGACAGAGGCCGCTGGTATGTTACTGGACATTAATGTTATCTATTATAAACAACATTTTTATTTACAAACAATTCAGACTTGCATATTTTCGAGGTTAGCAGATTTTATTTACCTGTTCAGCTGTGAGGTCATCCAGGGTGAAGCTGGACAGCAGATGGACATTGTCCTGTCTGCATGACGCTGCAGTCTCGCCCGGGATACGCCGATGAGCCAGTAACTTTGACAATATTTCCATCTGAAGACAAACAATAGCCAATGTTGAAGACAGCCTCACAGCCTAACAACGGTTTACAAAACGACAATGATAATATACCTAGTATATGCCAAGTCCATGACTTCCCCATTTATCAGTCACTGCCGTGGGATTGCCTTGCTGAGAAATCATCGATTTTCAAAATGTTGTACTTAAAAAGTAGACATCCTGACACACAAATAAGTATCAAAGCAATGGAGCAGCCAGATTTAAAAAAAAAAAAAAATTGTAAATGGGCGGAGGTGCCCTTGGAGAGTTCAGCGTTCAAAGCTAATCCAAGGTCACCAACACAGATCTTCCATACTTCTCAAATCAACGACACTGACTCTCAAAATTCAACTGAGAGCTACAATGTGCCCCTGCCGCATTCCCAGCAGTTTTGTGGTGACTAGGTTTAGATTCTTCTAGTCAGTTTACTCCAGTAAGAATAGTCCAAACTCAGACAACGAGACTATGATCAATTCTTACATTTACTATTGGTGACCATCTACTGGAACTGAAGTGGCTCCCCTGTACAGGCTATATTGGTGTACTTGGGAATCATAAAGGCGAGAAACACTGAGGTTGAGACATGAAAAAGACATGATAACATTTATATATGATCATCTTTGCACGAGAGAACACAACTCTTTGGCTATAGCTTGAAGCGAACACTAACAGAATCAGGATTTCAGTTTGGTTCTAGCCACAAAGTCGAGTCATGGTAGCACAGCGTCAGACGCTCGCCTGCCAGCCCCAGGGGTTACTTCACATCCACCTCGGGCGGATTTTATTCATAACTGACCTTGGTTCGCTGGTCGACTCAGCCCACAGCTGGTAGCAAGTAATGTCCTGGGAAATAAAGGCTGACAGCATGAGGTTAACTACACCAACTGTCGAGTACATACTGAGCGATTTATATCTTTGTCTTGTGTTCCCCCTTTTGTCTCTTTTGCTGTTTGCCTATGGTTACTTAGCTCTCAAGTGTGATGTTTTTATCCTTATCTGTACTGTCTGTCCGATGCGCCAAAGGCGCGACAAATTTATTTACTTGACGGAAGGATATTGTGTGTGTGTGTGTGTTTGCGTAGGCGACCCGGGGGGGGGGGGGGTGATCCGTCGTGGTACATTGTACAAAGCATGACAGGTCAAGTCTTGACTCTCCATTCAGTGAATGTATCCAATAAACCTACGAGACTCCATTTAGTGAATGTATCCAATAAACCTACGAGACTCCATTCAGTGAATGTATCCAATAAACCTACCAGACTCCATTCAGTGAATGTATCCAATAAACCTACCAGACTCCATTCAGTGAATGTATCCAATAAACCTACCAGACTCCATTTAGTGAATGTATCCAATGAACCTGACCTCATTCGGTGAATGTATTCAATAAACCTGTCAGACCATAATGATCAAGCTGCGCATCCGCACTGTTCACTCGTTCCCAAAGGTCCCTCGCTATATTTAGTTTGTCGTTCATCAGTTCAACACCAAGTGGTGCAGAGCCGGCTAGTCTATGTGGCTGCTCATTTCCCAACACACCTGCATGACCTGGAGAAAATATCCAAAGAATTCTAGCTATCCGGGACTTCTGAAGTGATGCTTGCCACTCTGCACGAAGCATGTCTGTCTTCACCTTTCTTAACATGCTCTGTGAGTCAGTTAAAATCCCGGCATCTGTGTAGAACTGATTTTCAAGCCAGCGAAGGCAGCAGAGATTGCCTCCACCTCTATTCTTAACCTAGACGTTGTGATATTATATGCAAGCCTTTGCTGCACTAGGCGACGTCCATTCGCCTTCGCTATGAACCCCCATGCACTTCGTCTGCCCCTCACCACAGAGCCATCTGTATATACAGTCACATCACCTGATTGGGAATTGTCATGAATCATTTGCTAAACTTCTTATTCTGCAGCACCAGTTGGCCAATCCCTGCACTCACGACCTAAAGTGATTAGATCCCTTCACAAGTCTGAAACTTGATCCGACACTTTGACCCACTCCTCTCCTCGCTCAAATTTATTAAGCCTGCACAAATGTCTTCAGCTTGCGCCACCCAAGACCTTCCTCTTTTCAGTCTGTGACCCTTAGCTCTACCCAGGACTTCATACAGGAGGTGCTTCTTGTCTGCAGCTACTCTGATGACTTTGCTTGCAGAACTTTGAGTCATTCTGAAAAAGTAGGCAGTGCAAGGATATATCGCATACGTACTACTGGGGTATCTCTTGCACAACCCAGAATTACGCGTATGTCTTCATTCTGAATTCGTTTGAGTTTTATTAGCTGACACTTTGATATGGTAAGCATTCCAAGTCCATAATCTATCACCGACAGGATCACATGCTGGAACATTGTGAACAGCATTCTTTGTTCCACGTCCATTGCTACCATAATCTTGAGAGCATTGAGTCCGTTTTGGCACTGCACCGCAACTGCATCCACTTGAACCATTAAGGACAGGCTTCTATCGAAAGTGATACCCAGGTACCTTAGTTTGTTTTCTCTGTTGATGTTTCTGTTAATAATTGTGTGGCTTGGAACATTAGCTCTTACAATTCTATTGTCAAGAGAGCACCACAAAACAGCCGCCTTTTCTGAATTGTTGACAGACCCATCTCTGCACACCAGTCAGTCTGTCTACAGTTACCTGCAGCTCTTGGGCTATCCGTTGTCTATCACTCCCCTGTCTATATACAAGAACATCATCAGCAAATTTCAATATCCTTCCAACACCTGGTGCTTCAAGTTCTGCAATCTTGCTTGTATACACATTAAAGAGCACCGGTGAAATTGCAGAAACGGGGTATTCCCGGGCTATATAACACGATTCTGAGGTCCATGTACCCAGACGAATGGCTTCCATAAGTGAATGCAGGACAGCTGCTATCCAGTTCACAAGCCATAGGCAAACTCCCTTATCGATGAGTGCAGATATCAACATATCATTTCTGACTCTAATGTATTCATCCTCAAGATCAAGTGCTGTCACAACTGTCTCCTGTCTGTTCTGGTTCCCTTCATAAACATCAAAAGCAAAAGTAGCTGCATTAAGCCAGGTATCTTTCCGTGGCTTTGGCAGAAGCTCTTTTCTTTCCCAAAAACATTTGTAGTTTTACAGCAATAATCTTCTCTAGCACCTTGTCAAAAGTATTTTACAGGGTGATAATCCTGAAACCATTGAGCCTGGAATGATCTTTGCCTGGTTTTGGAAGAGGAATCAGGTAGCTGTGTACCCAGTCCTAGGGTACTGACGCTGTTGTGACGCTCTGGTTAAAGTGAAATGCCATCTCCCTCAAGCCTTCATTACTGATGCTCTTCAAATGGGCAGACCTGACTCCGTCTGGTCCCAGCGTTTTGCAATACATATTTTATAACCTCCACACTAATGATATCCTGAAAATAATTATCATTTATAATATTACACAGATTATCTCTAACTGAATTTCTCAGCTCCATATCATTATGATCAGTGTGGTCTCAAAATCTCTTCAAAAATGCTTCCCCTTTCTCTTTTTTGGGCATACCATTATCAGTGTATGTAAGCCCTGTTGTGATAGGCCGATCCTTTTTTGGGCATACCATTATCAGTGTATGTAAGCCCTGTTGTGATAGGCCGATCCTTCCTACACATCTTTGAAGGCGAGACGGGTACACAATGAGGCAGATACTGGTACTGTCTGAACTGAGACTCTGCACTCGCTGCTGAAGATGGGGATAGGGCACTTAGGGGAATATCTCGGGTGCTGTGATGTTGATTCTTAATTAAACATTACACATTATGGAGATAGCAGAGCGCTTAGAGGTGGGTGTAATTGAAATAATATTAAGAAATACCTTATGATTGAAGTCTCTGGTGAGTAGATCAGGATTAGGAATCACAGAACGTTCAGAAATCACAGCCATTCGGATCTGGTCAGCGTAGGTGATAAAAGACACGGTTATGGGGACCTTTTTCAGCGGCGGCAGCCAGTACATCATACACTTGACTTCCCTGGAGTCGATCTTCAGTACAGAGGTAGGACCAGCCAGGTTGGCCACAAGCAACGTGCACTGACTGTATATCTATAGTGATGTGGAGAAGTGTAGGTATGTATTATATGGTATACATATGTGTGTGTGCATGTATATATATATATATATATATATATATATATATATATATATATATATATATATATATATATATATATATATATATATAAGTGTGTGTTTGTGTTTATGCGTGTGTACATTATATTAAATAACACGCCAATGCCACAGAAAAGACAGGGTAAACCGGAGAAAACTTTTAAAAATGTTTTTAGGTTTGAATAACGGATCAACATCATGACACACGGGTAGCAACTCCTAAGTGCTCCTTTCTTCTTCTAACTCCGAAGAAGCTCAGCACAGTGTACCGGCTCTGTAGCACTGGCGTGGATCCTGAAATACTTTGGGTAGATTTTTAGACTACTCTTTTCGATTTCCAACTGCCAGGGGATTTTTTACGTGCGCAACAATGCACACGGGCGTCCGATTTCACTACCCAGAAACCAGGGGGAATTACTAAAAGTCCAACTCCAAGTGAAAACAATCCCAGCACTTACCGGGTTTTGAGCCCGGAACCTCTAGCACTCGAGGCGGACACCATGCCTCGAGACCACACAACCCCCTGAGAAAATATATAAACCCTGGCGGTTCGTCCAACGCTGTTTTTTAACAAGACTGAAAATGGAAGTTGTGGCAGGCAAAGCGATTTTAAGGTCAAGAGTTGGGCAATATTAGTAGATGTTGCCTCAGTTATGATCAGATATTTGCCAGTCAAATGTTGACGTGGAGTGAACTGATTAAAGACGGTAACATTTTCAAAATTTAATTCTCATTTTGTGATTGTTTCTAGTGCAGAAACTAATTCTCGCAACGCCGTGACTGTTGGCGGACAATTTGTGATGTCTGGACTTTTGAACAAGATCGAAGTGCTTGCCTCTAGCTGTTGATGGGCAGCCTCTCTGTCAGACCCAGTGATCCAGACAATCGACACATGCTCAGCTGTAGTTGTATAATGCAACATGAGTTATACTATTGTTGGCTGATTGCGTTTATGTTTTATGTTGCACTTGCAGTTCAATCATTAGGTGACACTGGAGAATGATGATAACTGGATAGCCACTCACACGTGGCACTTGACGACTGTCCTATCTCTCAGCTGACGATGGTCAACGCAGCACACACTTGTGGGTATCAACATATTAGTGTCATATACAAGCAGGAGTTGATGTTTTCAGCTTCTGCGTATAAAGAAAGCGGTCTGGCTTAGTTGAGGTGCTACATCAACTAACTAGAGATAGTGCGAGTCACAGAGTGGTCGGCTTACACTTTTATAACATGAATAGGTTGGGGTGGACATATCCTCCATCCAGATTCTGAGAAGACAGTGGATGTGTTTTATTTTAATCCCAGATAAGGTCTATAAGCTAGGAGGGTATTAAAATATCAGTTATAAATCGTTTAGAGCAGACCAGATAGATAATTTTTTAGGGTGAAATTAATATTAGAGAAACAATCCCAAAAATGAAATTCTGTGTTTAAGCGACACATCCTTGCGCTGCCGACTATAGGAGATAGGCTAAAGGTGCTGCAGGCTAAGTCATACCTCAGAGTAGTTGCAGATAAAGAGCACCCTTTGTGTGACGATTTGGATGCCGCTAAGCGTCAGAGGCTGAAAAGGGAACATCATGGATGGCTCAGGCAGGAGACACATTAAGACAAGTATGCGTGCTGAAAAACATTGGATAAGGAGATGAGTGGGTCAGAGTACACTGCAGTTTTCGGGGGTTAGAGAACAAGATACATACACATGTCGTAATTGTAACGGACTCTGAAAAGTGAAGACAGGATTGCTTCGAGCAGAGTGGAAAGCTTCACTTGCAAGGTCACAAATAGTGAGCAAACTTGGGATCTTTTCTCCAGGCCTGTTAGCGTGGTGGGGAATTAACAAGCCAGATAGACTGGCTGGATCTGCACCGATGGGTGGTGAACTGATACATGACAAGGCAGATGTGGTCAGAGCCTTTTGGGAACAAGTAACGAAGTCAGAAGAGAAACTAGATTATTATGGGCTTGCGAGAATAATGCAGCTGTGTTTGAGCAGAGAGTTTGTCCGGAAACTACGCTCAAGACGGACATACAACCACACTACGACTGGCACCATTAGTATTAGAACTCTGCGCTGGCTGCTGAGGATGAGGACGGAGCGCGTATGGGAATGCCCCGAGTGCTGTGTTGTCAAATCTTGACTTTACTCAATTCAATTCAACGTCTTCTTACAACCTGGCTAGTGTCAAAATTCAACGTTCTGAGATTCTTTCCATGCGATATACAGCAAGTGCTGAGACACATCTCCCTGAGGACTAGAAGTGATCTTCGACAGCAAAACATACGCCAGCATCTTTTGTGGATGACCTCTTTGGCGAAATGATAAATCTTTGACTGCTGCTTTCCTCAAACACGTACACGTTCACTTCCAAAGCAACAACAAAAACAAAAAAGACAAATTATTTTGTAGCTGTAGAAGTAGATTAAGTCTGTTTGAAGGAATTATGTATATGAAATCTTTAAGTTTTAGCCATTCTTCTTTCTAGAGACTGCACAAGTTTGTTGCATTGTCTTTGTATATTTCCTTCTAATTTGCTATTGCAGCTTCTTTGTATGTATTTGTAACATGCATTTACAATCACACATGGACAGACACATGGGTGGGTTAGGTATTACTGATGTTTCACACACATCTCTTCCTCTGTCAAGTATCACTGATGTTTCACGCTCATCTCTTCCTCTGTCAGGTATCACTGATGCAGGTATCACTTATGTTTCACACACATCTCTTTCTCTGTCAGGTATCACTGATGTTTCACGCACCTCTCTTCCTCTGTCAGGTATCACTGATGTTTCAGCACATCTCTTCCTCTGTCAGGTATCACTGATGTTTTACACACATTGATTACTCTGTCAGGTATCACTGATATTTTAGTAACTTTCTCTGATGTGGCTCCGGCGATATCCTAATGGCAGAATTTATTCAATTGTTCTTGTGCAATAACATTTTTGTGTGTCATGAAATATATAAATCTAAGAGAATGGATAGACAGAGGGGTGGGGGGAAAAGGAAAGAGACGAAGAGTGAAAAAGAACACGAGACTGAAAAAAAGAGGTGGGGGATTAAATTAGGAGAAGAAAGGCGAATATGAAACAACAATCCTTGGAGGCTTTATCTGCGGAGATTGTCAAAATCTAACCTTGCACCACAATCGCTGGAAAAGAGACACCGGAAGTAGACAACAAGTTAGCCAGCATGCGCCATTAACAATGGCCGCCTCGGCCGATGACTTGAATTTCTCCATGTTGTACTTGACCTGCCAGAGCCGGGGAATGACACCTTCTGTGTTGGTGGGTAGCTGGTGGACCACGAGTGCGTACCTGGTGATAGGGGATGTATGGCAGTCAGGCATGTAGACATGACCGTTTCAGGCTGTGACAAGGGTACGCGGTGTCAGTGTCGGGTTATCACAGTCAAGTTTTTATCTGCACTCAGCACTCGCCCACAGTGAAGGGACATGGACGGTGAGCAAGCAGTTAGCACGCTAATATGTGGTCCTGGGTTGGTGCAGGAGCAAAAATATCTACAAAGGGCAGCGTGAAAAAGTGAAGCAGAAGGAATAGGAGGAGAAAGAAGAGAAAGCAGGAGAAGAAAAGAAGGGAAAAAAGCAAGAAAGAAAGGAAGGAAGGAAGGAAGGAAGGAAGGAAGGAAGGAAGGAAGGAAGGAAGGAAGGAAGGAAGGAAGGAAGGAAGGAAGGAAGGAAGGAAGGAAGGAAGGAAGGAAGGAAGGAAGGAAGGAAGGAAGGAAGGAAGGAAGGAAGGAAGGAAGGAAGGAAGGAAGGAAGGAAGGAAGGAAGGAAGGAAGGAAGGAAGGAAGGAAGGAAGGAGGAAGGAAGGAAGGAAGGAAGGAAGGAAGAAGGAAGGAAGGAAGGAAGGAAGGAAGGAAGGAAGGAAGGAAGGAAGGAAGGAAGGAAGGAAGGAAGGGAAGGAAGGAAGGAAGGAAGGAAGGAAGGAAGGAAGGAAGGAAGGAAGGAAGGAAGGAAGGAAGGAAGGAAGGAAGGAAGGAAGGAAGGAAGGAAGGAAGGAAGGAAGGAAGGAAGGAAGGAAGGAAGGAAGGGAAGGAAGGAAGGAAGGAAGGAAGGAAGGAAGGAAGGAAGGAAGGAAGGAAGGAAGGAAGGAAGGAAGGAAGGAAGGAAGGAAGGAAGGAAGGAAGGAAGGAAGGAAGGAAGGAAGGAAGGAAGGAAGGAAGGAAGGAAGGAAGGAAGGAAGGAAGGAAGGAAGGAAGGAAGGAAGGAAGGAAGGAAGGAAGGAAGGAAGGAAGGAAGGAAGGAAGGAAGGAAGGAAGGAAGGAAGGAAGGAAGGAAGGAAGGAAGGAAGGAAGGAAGGAAGGAAGGAAGGAAGGAAGGAAGGAAGGAAGGAAGAAGGAAGGAAGGAAGGAAGGAAGAAGAAAGGAAGGAAGGAAGGAAGGAAGGAAGGAAGGAAGGAAGGAAGGAAGGAAGGAAGGAAGGAAGGAAGGAAGGAAGGAAGGAAGGAAGGAAGGAAGGAAGGAAGGAACGAAGGAACGAAGGAACGAAGGAAGAAGAAGAAGAAGAGGAAGAAAAAGAAGAAGAAGTTTGAAACCTAATTGACCCAAGCTTTCAACAGTCCACACACAGCAATGCTTGGTTATAGACTGGATCATGGATTGAAAAAACTCCACTTTATTTAGCACTGATTGGAAGAAAAATGACTGGAGTAAATGATAAATAGTGCGATGTCTGACACATATCTCTTTCTCTGTCAGCTATCACCGATGTCTGACATACATCTCTTACTCTGTCAGCCATCACCGATGTCTGACACACATCTCTTACTCTGTCAGCTACCACTGATGTCTGACACATATCTCTTTCTCTGTCAGCCATCACTGATGTCTGACACACATCTCTTACTCTGTCAGCTACCACTGATGTCTGACACATATCTCTTTCTCTGTCAGCCATCACCGATGTCTGACACACATCTCTTACTCTGTCAGCTACCACAGATGTCTGACACATATCTCTTTCTCTGTCAGCCATCACCGATGTCTGACACACATATCTTACTCTGTCAGCTACCACTGATGTTTGAGACACATCTCTTCCTGTGTCAGCTATCATTGATGTCTGACACACATTTCCTTGTCAACTATCACCGATGTTTCACAGACATCTCTTCATCTGACAGCTATCACTGATGTTTCGCACACATCTCTTTCTCTGTCAGCTATCACTGATGTTTCTTATACATCTCTTCGTCTGTCAGCTTTTACTAATGTCTCAAACACATTGTTTCCTCTGTCAGGTATCAGTTTTTTTTTAATGACAGTTTCTTTTTTGTAGGATTAGTTATTCTTGCCAACCCCCCAACCCTTTTCCCTATCCCCCTGCAAATATGTGTATAGAAAAAAATCGTCCCTAATCTCCACCCCCCCCCCCCCGCACCCACTTTCTCTTTTCCCTCTCCTCCCGAAACAGTCACTCAATGGCGGACAGTAGCTTTAGCATTTTCTGACAAGGGAAGGAGGGGAATCGACCAAGAACCTGATTTTGTTATAAACTAGACCAGTGTTTCCCAAACTTGTCTTAATCAGGGCCCATTTTTTCAATTGCAATTTTTCCACGGCGCCTTAACCTAAGTCAAAGTTATGACTGTTCGTATGTGAGAGAATTTAAAAAAAAAAAACCTCATATATCTTCGATTATTTCTGGCGGAGCGGCTCACCGGGGCGCCGCTTCTCACAGTTTGAGAGTCACTGAACTAAGGCAATCGTCAGCATTCTACTCTACGTGTGTCAAACTCGCTAAATATATTATTTATAACAGGTAAGTAAATCAAGCCCGTCGTCCGCCACCCGTATTGTGCTCAGCTTTGTCATTTCAACACTGAGCATATATATATATATTGAAGAAGAAAAATTTCATTCTTTACAATTGAATAATTTTGTTTGTGTTGTTGTGTATACAAAACATGGCCTTTTTAGGTTGGCGTGCTGAATGTAACATTACTTTGGCACAGCCTTGGACAAGTTTGCCGGCCGTTGCTCTAAAGCAAGCGAAAGCCGATAGCCTCGTAGCCTAATATCATGTCTGGCATACGTGTTATAACAACACTACAGACAAACTACAGTAAAGCAAGAACATCAGTGAAGATGTTGACTCACTGCTTTTTGTCCATCAGATATGCCCCGAACACCAAACAACGCGGACTCTACAAAGAGCAGTCCTGACTGTAGGACGTTAAGTAAAGCAAGTAAGTAAGTAAAGAACCCTTCTCCACGCCTTTAAGCGTATAGGGCATATAGGGCTAGACCTATATTTTTATAGACCAATCGGCACAAGATGGGTCATGTAGTCAGCATCACGCCGGCCGCCTTTACTTCGCGGGCTGCACTCGGTACCCACTCAAGGCTGGGCCAACCTGGGAGCCAAGATCCTTTTTGAAAAAAGTCCGGCTTCGCCAGGGAGCGAACCCACGACCTTCCGATCTGCGACGAACGTCTAGCCGCTCGGCCACGGCGACTCCTGGACGTTTTGTAGCCAGTCCTAACCCTTAAACACGTCTGTCAATGGTGCTTTGACTGACATTACCGATTACAGTTTGTCTGAGCTGACATCTAGTGAAACAAGTCACTTTCTCTGGCGCAGGACTGACAGTAAGAGATACCGGTCATCATGTCTGTATGTGCATTTAAAGGTTTAAAATGTGAATATATGGTCAGCAAATCAGATTGCTCGCCGTGGTTGTCGGTGACTTGTTCCCATGCTTCATGCGCATAGCGGACTATCATTAGAGGACTATCGTTAGAGGACTATCATTAGTGGACTATCATTAGAGGACTATCATTAGAGGACTATCATTAGAGTACTTTCGTTAGAGGACTGTCACTTGTGACTAAAAACATTTTTCATTTAATCATCCTGTGTGTGTTAATATAAGTGTAGAGAAAATATTAGGGCGCCGCTTGACTTTTGACGAATAATATATATATATATATATATATATATATATATATATATATATATATATATATATATATATATATATATATATATATATATATATAGTGTTCTTGTTTTTCGCGTTCACCAATATGCACTCCAGTAGAAAGTTTATGGTTGTTTGTCCACTTCTGGACTTTCCGGAACTTGAGTTTTGCGTGCAAATCTTTTTTCAAGACCTGATCTATTTTTACGAAAACTGTTGGTTGCTCTCCTCTCTGTAGATGCACTCCAACTTGGAAAAACACATCTCTAACTTGTCGTCTTTAACAGCACACTTCCTAGGAGGCACTAAATCTAGCTGCCCGCCCCACTGCCCCCACCCGCCCCACCGCCCCCACCCGCCCCACCTGCCCCACCTAAAACATGGTCATAGAACCACCTCGATGGCAAAATAAATATGAAACAACATTTATATTGAATGCGACTATTGTGACATTGTGTGACAATGTGTGACAATGTGTGACAAAGTGACATGTTAAAACCAAGTTACGTTTTTGTCATTGTGATGTTATTTCATTTTTAACATAAGCCAGTGAAAGTTGAAGAACTACTAAAGGGTCACGGCTTTCAAATCAGTATCAGCAGGCAAAACCTTCACTAACAATTAAATAACAACAACACATTCTCAACGTCAAACCCTTAGAGATAAAAAAAGAAATCTAAAAGGAATAATCCTACAGTTGTGAAAACAATGGCAAACTACTGAACCTAAGTACTAACATATCTAGTAAAACCACACAACAGACAGTAAATGCCGTGATCTCCTGGCGACCTTTTAAAGAAAGGACGTGCCTCATAAGAACAAAGGCGAGCACAGTACAAGTGATGGACAAGGCGTTATTGATGAACTGACTTGTTGCTCATGTCCATGACGCCTCCATTCATGGCCTGAAAGTCCACTGGTAAGGCACACTTGATGTTGTACGGGTGGGAGATGCCGTTGACTTGCAGATAGGTTCTCATGTTGCCAGCTGTGATGGACAGAAGCAGCTCGCTCAACGTGCATCTGGCCACTTGCTTGACTCGCATGGCGGCGCTAAGACTGCAAGATACAACATTGTTATATTGTATAATTATATACTCTCAGAGATCTTTCGTCTCTTCCCACAGTGTGTGCCGATCTGGTGTCATATGACACATCTTTTATGCCACTAAACAAAATGTACAATACACAGTTTAGTAACAAAAACTCTTAACAGTAATTAAAGTCAAACGTGTATGCCATGAAACATATTATATCTATGGAAATGCCCCCCCCCCCCCCCCCCCCCCCCCCATCTGCCCCATTTTGTTTTTTGGTTTAAATAACATTTTAAGGCTTCAAGTTCTGCAAACGTGAAATCACTGACAAATAATGCCATTTTGAAAAGCCCAAAATTTTTATATCTGATCAATTTGGTCTTCAGGATTTTATAGATAAACTAAAATGTGGATTATCATACGTACAGTAAATGTAATGACGAAGCTGTGTTATATAGACAGTATGACACATTTGAGATGGTCATAGAGCTATGCGAAGGGTCATTGCTCGTAATGATCAGAGCTAGGGATCACTTTGACGAACCGGACACAGTAAGAACTTTTGTGTTCTTTGAGGGGTCATTGCTCGTTATGATCAGAGCTAGGGATCACTTTGACGAACCGAACACAGTAAGAACTTCTGTGTTCTGTGAGGGGTCATTGCTCGTTATGATCAGAGCTAGGGATCACTTTGACGAACCGGACACAGTAAGAACTTCTGTGTTCTGTGAGGGGTCATTGCTCGTTATGATCAGAGCTAGGGATCACTTTGACGAACCGGACACAGTAAGAACTTCTGTGTTCTGTGAGGGGATGATCCCTTTTAAAACCTGTATTGTGCTACAGGAGGGTTGGGGTGGCAGCTGGTTGGGAGTATTATAGAGCCGGGACTGTCACATGGATCTGCAATTTCACCTGTGCTGTTTTCGATGTGTTTACGAGCAAGATTGCAGAACTGGAAACACTTAGAGTTGGTAGAATGCTGACATTCACAGATGATACTCTCGCAGATAGGCAGGGCAGAGATTGGAATCAAATTGCTCAATAGTAACAGGCGACAGTAGATAGGGTGATCGACTGGTGTACAGAGATGAGTGCTGTAATACACCCAGAAAAGTGTTCTGTGGCGTTCTTTGGACAATAGCATTGTTAGAGCTGATGTTCCAAGCCTTAAAAAAATGGCAGGAACGTCAAAAGAAACAGCAGACTGCAGTACCTGGAAATCACGCTTGTCTTTTAAAGATCACATAGAGGTGGTTGTGTCAAAGGCCCAAAAAAGATCTTATTGCACTAAAGATTATGGCAGTAATGGACATGGAGCAAAGAATGCTGTTCAGACTACACCAGCACTTAATCATATCAGTAATTGATTATGGACTGGGTTTGCTCACTGTCTCGAAGAGTTAGCTAAAGAAACTGGAGCGCATACAGAATGAAGCAATGAGGTGATCCTAGGATGCACAAGAGACACCCCGATTGTGTGCATGCGATACATCCTTGCATTGCCGACTATTGCAGACAGGCAAAAGGTGTTGTAGGCTAAGTCATACCTCAGAGAAGCTGCAGATAAAGAGCATCCTCTGTGTGAAGCTGTGGATGCAGTTAAGCGTCAAAGGCTGAAAATGGAAAAATCATGGATGGCTCAAACAGAAGACGCAGTAAGACAATTGTGTATGCTGAAGAACACTGGGCGAGGAGAGGAGTGGGTCAGAGTACCAGAGGAACAGTCTGACCTGTGTAAGGTCATGATCACATTTAGCCGGGAGAGTGGCCAGTGGGGCTAGTCAGGTGTACGTCCAACAGTTGATTCACGACAATTCTCGTCTTGATGATCTTATTATCTACACAGACTGTTCTCTACGGAGGGGGAAGAGAAGTGTCTGGGGTTTTGTAACAAAAGCCAGTGGGAAATCTTTAGTGCAGGACAGCCTGGCATATGACACCACGACATCTATCATGAGAATGGAGGTGGAGGGGTCACTGCAGCTTGCCGATGGCTAGAGAACAAGATACATACACATGTCGTAACTGTAAAGGACTCTGAAAGCATGCTGAAAAAGGTGAAGACAGGGATGCTTCGAGAAGAGTGGCAAGCTTCCCTTGCAAGGTCATATGTAGTGAGCATACTTTTGATCTTTTCTCTAGGCAATACCGGCGTGTTGAGGGATGAACAGGCAGACAGATTGGCTGGATCTGCACCGCTGGGGGGTGAACTGACAAAGCAGATGTGGTCAGAGCCCTTTGGAAACAGTTAACGGAAGAGAAACTAGATTATTATTTGCTTGATAGAATGATGCACCTGGGTGTGAGCAGACAGTTCGGCAGGCACACTACGCTCAGAGGAAAGGCAAGACGGACATACAAACAGACTACGACTGGTACCGTTAGTACTAGAACTCTGCGCTAGCTGCTGCGGATGGGGACGGAGCGAGTATGGGAATGCTCCAAGTGCTGTTATGTCAGTTCTTGACTTAAGCCAACAACTCTAGTTTGGAGTATTTGTAGGTCGGGTTGTAAATTATCTCCTCAGTTTTCTTGGTCTGCCTCATGGTCTACGATCATTTCAACTCCAAGTCGTTTTCTATTTATATCCATCTGAACTCAAGACTTTAAAAAAGGGTTATTTATAAAAAGGGTTTAAATTAGAAATCAAATTTGACGCGGGTGTAGGTGTCGGCCTTAAGCTTCACCTCCTAAACTGGAGAATCGGGGTATCCCTGTTTATCTTTTCTCTACCCTTTGACCCATCCGGCTTGGAAGTCCCTGCAGCTGACTGCTACTGCCGGCATACCTCAGTGTCATTGATAAGTTGGAGTCTACTGGAAGTAACATATCAACATCGATCCTTCACGCAATCGGGGACGAACCATTAGTCTACGATAATACTCTATATCCGCTATTTTAGCTATTATTTCGGCTCTAACATTTGTCGTTAAAAGCTGAAGAACTGGTAAGAAAAAGAAAACAGAAAGAAAAAGAATGAAAGGGAAAAAAAAAAGACCCAAATTCGTTGCCAGTAGACAGGGATACTCATTATTTACTCTAGTGTCTCTTCATAGACCACCATACGCAAACATACACAATGTCCCATAGCTAACACACAAGTTACAAACATCTATTAGTGCCCGTTTTTTTCCCCCTATATATTGCTGGTCTTAAACAGCTCAAGTTTTTTTACCTGTCTGCTGCGTTTTTTCCCCCTTGCACTCACAAACGGGTGTAGCAGATAGACGCTCGTCTGTGGATTCGAAAATCGTGGGTTCCAATCCGAACGAAGCCGGACTTTCCTCAAAAATGACCTTGACTCCCATGTCGACACTGCCTTAAATAGGTACCATTTAAAAAAAAGGCGGTCTGTGTAACTACATCACCAACCAAGTGACGATTGGTCTATAAAAAAAAAGTCGGCTCTCCTGTCAACTACGGCCGGTAGACAACAGTAGACGGCCGGTTAGTCGGAGTTCTGTCCCCTGGCTGCAGTGCTATTGCGGACTGGACAGGAGGAAACGAAACAAATGACATAATTACTCTGTGTTGGCGATAGACAGCGTGCACTGCCCTGCTATAATCATACGGTTACGGTTTGGGTTAGGGTTAGGTTTAGGGGTAGGGTTTGGGTTAGGTTAAGGTTTAGGGTTAGGGTCCGGTTAGGGTGTGGGTTATTGTTACGGTTAGTGTCGCCTCATCTCGTCTTCGCACAAACTCACAGTAGCAACCCAAACCCTAACCCTAACCCTAACCCTAACCCTAAACCTAACCCAAACCCTAACCCTAACCCAAACCCTAACCCTAACCCAAACCCTAATCGTATGATCATAGCAGGGCAGTGCACGCTGTCTATCGCCAACACACAGTAATTATGTCCTAAGTGTCGTACCCTCTAGTCCACTCCGTAATGCGTCGCAAGAAGCGGCAATTGAACGCGGTCGTTAATTTGAGTCGCAGCGCGGGTTCCGCCAGGCATGTCGACCTCACTTTGTTTTTTGATTCGTGCTGTCTCCACTCCGTAATTGCACTGTAGCCAAGGGACAGAACTCCGACTAACCGGCCGTCTAGTGTTGTCTACCGGCCGTAGTTTACAGGAGAGCCAAAAAGTCTAACCATTAAGGCGTGGAAAGGGTTCCTTTAGCTTTGTGCTGGACTCAGAGACGGTAAGGCTGGACTGTACAGGACAACCCCACACGTGATACTCACCTAAACGGTTCCGACCAAGCCACAACCATCTCCCCCGAGGGACGGATGTGTCTGCCATGCAGCAAGTTGAAATCTGAACGCGGAAACAAATACTTGGACAAGAAAGTCACCGGCCCTGAGAAGAGAACCTTGAATGGCGAGGTGTTGGCAACCTCAGCGCTAAATGCCCGCTTTTGATGGGAAATCTGGAACATATATTCACAAGCACGTTATAGTTATAGGTCATAGTTATAATTATAGGTCATAGTTATAGGTCATAGTTATAGTTATAGGTCATAGTTATAGGTCATAGTTATAGGTCATAGTTTTAGGTCATAATTATAGGTCAAAGTTATAGTTATAGGTCATAGTCATAGTTATAGGTCATAGTTATAGGTCATAGTTTTAGGTCATAGTTATTGGTTATAGTTATAGGTCATAGTCATAGTTATAGGTCATAGTTATAGGTCATAGTTATAGGTCATAGTTATAGGTCATAGTTATAGGTCATAGTTATAGGTCATAGTTTTAGGTCATAGTTATAGGTCAAAGTTATAGTTATAGGTCATAGTCATAGTTATAGGTCATAGTTATAGTTATAGGTCATAGTTATAGGTCATAGTTTTAGGTCATAGTTATAGTTATAGGTCATAGTCATAGTTATAGGTCATAGTTTTAGGTCATAGTTATAGGTCATAGTTATAGGTCATAGTTATAGGTCATAGTTATAGTTATAGGTCATAGTCATAGTTATAGGTCATAGTTATAGGTCATAGTTATAGGTCACAGTTATAGTTATAGGCACCCTCTGCACAATGATCTCTTTAGGGAAAAGGGAAACAGGCTAAAAAGAGGAAAATCATGGCTCTGTAGGACAAAAGATGATATCATACAGGTCTGCAGTCTTGCAGATATCAACCTCGGCGAAGAACGGATACCTGTGCTCTAGGTGCTCAACTGCACCTGTTCCTGTGTTGTCACGCTTGATACGATCTGTCAGGAGCAGAATCCAGTTGCTATCAACGCAGAGGTTCCATGCGCTTACATGTGACAATTCAGATGAGGCGGATGTACTGATCTACACAGATGGGTCCGTTATACGAGGACAAAAAAGTGCATGGGCAGTTACTGCGGGCTCTGCAAGTAGAACAGTCCAGGAGACCAGTGGTGTCTTCTGTATGACAACTAGCAGCATGACAATGGAGGTGATGGAGGTGATGGCGGTAACACGAGCTTTCATGTGGCTAACATCGCAGGGCTATTCTCAGGTGTGTGTGCTGGGTGACTCCATGAGCATGATTCGCCGGGTGGAGGTGGGCTTTGTACGAAGACAGTGGATCGAGTCACTGCAAAACTCTACTGTGCGTAGAGTTACCTTCATCTTTGTCCCAGGGTATGCTGGTGTTGTTGGCAATAAAAGAGCTGACAGACTAGCCGGCTCTGCTTTAGTTACAGACGGCCGGCCCATGGATCATGCAGACATTGTTAATGCCATTAGAGAGGTAAGACGATCAGAGGATTTTGGAAGCAGCACATCCACATCTTAGCTCAGCGTGCAAGAATTGGGAGTAAAGATCGGCACAGCCAGGCAAGAGAAGCACACTGGACACAGGAGAAGTCTTGTCAACCAATATAGGACTAGGACAATCAACCGCTGATATATATGTTAAAGGGGGAATCTGAGCACCCATGGACGTGTCCGGAGTGCCGTGAAGATAACGCAAATCAGAACTCATAACTCAAATATGTTATAGACTTCACAAAAGGAAACAGTCTGCAGACTTAAATGGCGGAATTGTGCTCAACGTTACCAGCACAAAACACATGTGGTAACACACCTAAACAGATAGAAGGACTGGAGGACACATCACAGTGACTGGAAGACACACCACAGTGACTGGAGGACACAACACAGTGACTGGAGGACACAACACAGTGACTGGAGGACACATCACAGTGACTGGAGGACACAACACAGTGACTTTAGGACACATCTCAGTGACTGGAGGACACATCACAGTGACTGGAGGACACACCACAGTGACTTGAGGACACATCTCAGTGACTGGAGGACACATCACAGTGACTGGAGGACACATCACAGTGACTAGAGGACACATAACAGTGACTGGAGGACACATCACAGTGACTGGAGGGTACATCATAGTGACTGGAGGACACATCACAGTGACTGGAGGACATCGCAGTGACTGGAGGACACATCACAGTGACTGGAGGACACATAACAGTGACTGGAGGGTACATCACAGTGACTGGAGGACACATCACAGTGACTGGAGGATACATCACAGTGACTGGAGGACACACCACAGTAACTGGAGGACACACCACAGTGACTGTAGGACACACCACAGTGACTGGAGGACACACCACAGTGACTACGACACACCACAGTGACTGTAGGACACATCACAGTGACTATAGGACAAACCACAGTGACTGAAGGACACATCACAGTGACTGTAGGACAGACCACAGTGACTATAGGACACACCACAATGACTGGAGAACACACCACAGTGACTGGAGGACATATCACAGTGACTGCAGGACACACCACAGTGACTGGAGGACACACCACAGTGACTGGAGAACACACCACAGTGACAGGAGGACACATCACAGTGACTGGAGGGCACACCACCGTGACTGAAAGACACACCACAGTGACTGGAGGACATACTACAGTGACTGGAGGACACACCACAGTGACTGCAGGACACACCACAGTGACTAGAGGACACATCACAGTGACTGGAGGACACATCACAGTGACTGTAGGACACACCACAGTGACTGGAGGACACATCACAGTGACTGCAGGACACATCACAGTGACTGGAGGACACACCACAGTGACTGTAGGACACACCACCGTGACTGGAGGACACACCACAGTGACTGGAGGACACACTACAGTGACTGGAGGACACACTACAGTGACTGGAGGACACACCACAGTGACTGCAGGACACACCACAGTGACTGCAGGACACAAAACAGTGACTGTAGGACACACCAGTGACTGTAGGATACACCATAGTGACTGTAAGACACACCACAGTGACTGTAGGACAGACCACAGTGACTGTAGGACACACCTCAGTGACTGGAGGACACACCACAGTGACTGTAGGACACAAAACAGTGACTGTAGGACACACCAGTGACTGTAGGATACACCATAGTGACTGTAAGACACACCACAGTGACTGTAGGACAGACCACAGTGACTGGAGGACACATCACAGTGACTGGAGGACACATCACAGTGACTGGAGGACACATCACAGTGACTGGAGGACACGTCACAGTGACTGGAGGACACATCACAGTGACAAGGATAAGAGTGATGAACTGCCTACAGAGATGATGACGATGAAGTGCGCACGTCACTCACCTTCTGAGAATCTACCAGGGCATTCTCCAGGATGTGCACCAGGGAGACTCCATCAGTGACACAAGCGTGGATACGGAACAGCAGCACGGTGTCTCTGGGTTCACGGAAGTTATGCAAGACCTACAAATAAAAGCATATAGCTGGGAACATTTAAGACTAACACGGTATACACAAACATACACACATACATGTAGAAAAAAATATATAAACCGAATACTACAATATCATTTCAGCCTGAGGACAGGGATACTTTCAAGTCATATTTGTTTTCTCACAATTAGTTTTAACGAACTCTTGCAAATGTTGGCAAACATTAATTAAGTTGCGAGATCTTGTCTGCCATTTTCTCGGAACTAGACTAAGTTCACATTCACTCAGTGGAACTGCAAGCAGCCGTGTAGGTATTCAGCTGAATAACTGAAACATTGTGAAGAACTTGTGAAAGTCATCCCTGTATGCTAAGATTGATTAACAGCTGCTGGCATAGATACACGCATGAATACCAGACATCCCAGGGCAGGGAACACAGGCAATGGTGATGAAGAGACAATGTCTAAGCCACTTCAAATATTAAGCGGTTTTATCCCAGAGAACAGATGGACTCATTCTAATGCAACCTGCTATTGCATTGACTCTTTCTGGCCCAGACTAACATTGACAATAATTCCCTGGGCTGAATTAAGTAGAACGGTGACTAGTTGATTATTTTAAAATAAATGAATCAGGAAGAAGAAAGTGTTAGTGTTGCTATTGTCATATCGCCACTCTCTGGAGAAAATATTATTTCTATTTTCGATTGATCAGTATGTGCAGGGGATGGTATGTCTGCAACTTCTAACAGATTAAAGATCACAGGAGTTGCCCTACTGGGTCGGAGAGCCAAGGCCAGAGCTATCACATGAGCTCTGTCACCGAGTCTGTAATTATCACAGAGACTAAAGGAATTCACAATCTGACAGTGTTGTGGAGGAGAACTGTGCTGGTTTTAAAAACAAGGATTATACAACAAAACTAAAACTAAGATAACGACGTTTTCTACTCGGACCGTATGTTAAAAACGATTATCGTGATAAAAAGAAACTCCACAGGGGAGCATGTACAGCAGGAGTCTACCAATCGTCAGTAGAAGTAATCTCTCGTCGATATGTGTTTCGGCCCACGAGCTCCTAGACAATTTCAGAGAGTGGGCCCACCTGAGTTCATGAGGCTCAGAGTTGATTTCCTTCTGCTGCACGTATTATCGAATGTTATCAGACAGGGACAAGACGCAATTGGTGACTTTGCAAAAGGTACTGTGAGATACTGTGTTTACATAGTCGCTGCGGTAGCATAATTAAAGCAGTCTGCATACCTGGACGACCAAGTGGCAAGCTTACGTTTGGTTTACCGGACACATGTTAGACTTTGTTGGCAAATGGCAGAGGGACACTGGCAGACAATTCAGACACGATGGACTTCAAGGGATAAGATTTTTTACGACGTTCTGTTGTGTCTAGAGCCAGCTCGAGGCAACCTCGCTGAATATATATGAACTAAATATATATTTAATAAATGAATTGAGATTTACTTCTCGATTTGCCCTTGTAATTGGTGAATACGAAAAGAACCAGCACTGCGATATGAAATGCTGACTCTTGGTGTCGTCCCTCAAACATGTTTCAGAAAAGAACCAGCACTGCGATATGAAATGCTGACTCTTGGTGTCGTCCCTCAAACATGTTTCAGAAAACACTTCTCTTTGTCAAGAGTCTGCTTTTTCTTTTTTTTTTTTTAAAGTATCCAGGAACCAGTCGGCTCTGTGGCTAAGTCAGTGCGAACGCTTCGTAATGCCGGGATGCCTGGTTCGATCCCAGCTGCGGGCCATGCGCCTTGCGTTGGTTTCCACAGTGGTATCAAGAAAGCCGACAGTCCAGAAAGCAATGGCAAACTACTGGACGTAAATTTGCGTAGAAAACCACACAACAGGCAGAGACTGTTGGGGTTGGCTCTGCAACGTCCTGTAAAGAATACGCAACTAACCTATCCAGAAAACATGAGTTGTTAACCCTTTTGGCTCGGTACTATGGATATAGCAACCCTTCGGTCTTGATTCCATGATAGATACCGTAAGACAAAAGACAAACATCAGATTATGTAGACTATTTAAAGAGAGAGAGAAAAAAAGAGGGCGGGCGGGTAAATTTAAGAAGGAACAAAAAGCAAAGCAATTGAAACACAAATACAATCAATGATGCTGTAAGGAAAAGAGAACAACTCCAACCTGTATCTCCCAGAGCGGATAGTCCAGACATAGAGGTTCTCCCGCCATCTTGGATATGAAATGCTGCAGATCCTCCAGAGTTTCGATATAGCCGGGCATATTGTACACATGCCTGGACACCACAAAATGGTGGTCCGTCACCCATGCCTGACCGCAGCAGAATGGCACAACCTGGGTGGACAGAATGATACAGTTTTGATGAACAAAATATAAATCCAGGTTGACAGTAATAGATCAGTAGTCCTATTGAACACGGGGTCGTTCCTAGAGATGTGAATTCATGGATCTTTTATTTTGCAGCGCAATATCACACCCAAATAATATAGGCTATTTATAGTGCGTTTACAAATCCGTGTCTTATATTGTCGATAATTTATGGGGAATTACTTCTGGGAACGTAATATTTTGCATGACCTCCTATTTTAATCCCGAAGTTAATGTTTTATATACAAATATTACTTACGCTGCCCAGTTCCTTCGAAACAGATGTTTTCTTTATTATTTTCTCCACTTAAATAATTTTATTTAGATAACACAACAAAGTGTACAGTACCCACATGAATTATGAGTATAATAGAAGTTATAGGCGTTTGTCTTTAAGTCTCTGCACCTCTTACAATTTTTCATAATATACTTTTGGATATAAGAGTGTCATAGTTCTAAGTTTAATTGTTAATTTCTTCAGCGTCAACAATATTTTTTTACCGTCTAACATTCTGTATACTGTGCGTTTAATAACTTCTTTGTCAATGCTCTAAAATCCCCCCCCCCCCTTTTTCCCCTCGCTCAACGTGGGTACGTGTAGAAAGAACTGACTTTTCTTCAGTCCATCCTGAGAATGTCTGGTCGGTTAAACCTAAGGCGTGTTTTGTTCTTTTCTCTAGGTTTGAAATAGAATGATTCGGAAAACAGCGTTTAGTTTGAAATGATAACTATTTATATAACTGCATTGTTATATTTTTGAGTATAACGAATGTAACTTTCAGCCCCATTCTGATAACATGAAAACTAACCACATAAGTTACGCCTTGACAACTTGTGAGGAAACTTGGAAACTTTCTAGTACACTCATCTTATAGCGCATTAGGATACTTTCAGTGCAAGTAGTTAAACTGAGATTCACTTCTCGTATTCTCAAATTGTATGTAAAACACAAGAAACCGGGTTTTGGGTTTTTGGAAAGATCGATTGGTTTCGTTTGAACTTTATGCTGTATAATTTAAAATGCAACCCAACAAGGATGATAGTATATTTTTGTAAATCGAATAAGCAGAAATGCATTCTAGTTACTTACAATGGAGGGCAAGGAAATTTCAAATAACGCTGAGAATGAAGTAAATATTAACATATAATTTCATCCATTTAATATTTCATTTTAAACAAAAACATTTCTCTGCCATCTCCACATTGAAGGTTAGCTACAGTGTACCACTGTTGTCATTTTGGAAATATTATCTGGTGAGACCCCAATCTGTTCCACGGTGCGACTCTCGTACCGCTGTCTGAAAACACAGCGGGGAATGAAGCATAGCACTCGAAGATCAGAAAGTAGTTAAACGCATTTGCTTCCCTCTAGGCCACGGAGTCGTGCTTCAAAACAGCCCACACACACACACACACACACACACACACGCATACATATATATATTAGAGCAATGTTTCCCTGTTATGAATGTGAACAAAGAAGATATAAACAATAAATTGATGAATGTGAACAAAGAAGATATAAACAATAAATTGATGAATGTGAACAAAGAAGATATAAACAATAAATTGATGAATGTGAACAAAGAAGATATAAACAATAAATTCTACAATTTATTGCCAGGCAGTTTCGCTGTATCTCGTCAGGTGCATGCTACTGTAACAATTAATTAAAATAAAGCAAATATATGAATCCCTCGAGTTGAGACATAAAATCGTCTACATCCACATACTGTCTGTCTCACCAGGGTAACCGCAAGGTGACGAGCATTTCCTTTTGTCTGCATAGTTCTGGACTAAATCGACTGATAGCTGACGCTTCCGCAAATCTCAGTAATCTACAGTTGGCCGAAGTGTAAATAATTCGAAATGCATCATCCTTGTTTACTATGTGCACAGAATTTAGAAGATGGCACGCAGTTGCTGATGATGGATTTATTTTCGATCAGTCCACTGATTCATTGTTGTTGTTGAGTTGTTGTTGGTGTTCTGCATTGCTTTTACTATCCGTAGTGCAAAATGTTCAGCAACCCGTTTCTCCAGTCGTCGATCCGTTCTGCCCACATATGCAGCATTACAGGTGCATTTAAATTGTTAAATGCCATTAGATTTGGCGTACGTCAACACTGGTTCTTTCACTGGAGACGAAGGAATTACTGTGGTTTTTAATCTGATAACCGGCACGGCTGCGTAAACAGTTTGACTGACTGCTAATTTGAGATGGTCAGACAAACGTGCATAACATCATCTCCACGAAAGTTAGACGGATATACCGATTTTTCTATGGTAATTGGTTTGGGTGGCTGGCAATGGCGCTTGATAAAACCACCAGGATGTTCATTAGAAAGCAGTGTTTGTTTAAGGGTTTCAAATTATGTTTGTAGCGTGTCGCTGGAAAAAATCTTTCTTGCGTTGAATAACTAGGCCACTAGGCCACACTTGTATTGCGTGGATACGAAGCTGTTAAAGTTGATGTGCTGACCTGTCCAAGTGTCTTTACGATAAACTGAACTTACAGTAGTGCCATCATCTCTACGTCTAATGAAAATATCTAAAAAAGGCCAAGAGTTACTACTTTCATGTTGTAGGTACACTGATATTTTTGTGTATTTGGTTCATTTTGATGTGAAATGACTCTGCTTGTGGCCATGATAATTATGTCATCCGCATAACGTCGGTAAAATACCAGACTCTCAGTATCAATGGACATTTGTTCCTCGAAGTGTGCCATAAAGATGTCAGCTAGAATACGACCCAGAGGGCTTCCCATGGCCACAAGGTCAAACTGGCAGTAAAATCGCTTCAGAAAGTTGAAACTGTTGTTAGATGTGCATAACAGTAAAAGTTCCTCAAGTTTTCAAGTGAGTAAATCCACGTGCAGCTTTTTTGTCGTCTATACGATCACATATAATTTTCACAGCTTCTTCCAAGGGGCCGTATGTAAATAGTGATGCTACATCCATTGATGCTATGTTCTTTCATTTTATCAAGTTATTCTACCTGTTCGAATGAATCTCTGAGTATTTTGGGTTCAGATGATTGCTGTACTGGTTGAAGCATCAGGTACCAATTTGTAAACGCATTATAGTAATTTCTTTAAAATGTTATACGGAGCCATGAAAATATACGCAGTCATGATTTCAAGGTTCGGTCAATCGTATATTTATTCCAGGTCGTAATAAAAGATTTACAGAAGAGCTTCTTAAAACCTAATACACCATATGCCATCTTACATAGTCACCAGATACTAGGATCAGGTCTGTGTTCATGTTTTGGCCAAACCATCCAGGTATTTATCTATTTATCTTGCTCCTTTCCTGTTAAGTGTCTCAGTGTCCCAGTGTCCCATTGTCCCATTGTCACAGTGTCCCAGTGTCACAGTGTCTCAGTGTCCCAGTGTCCCAGTGTCTCAGTGTCTCAGTGTCATAGTGTTCCAGTGTCACAGTGTCCCAGTCAAGTGTAGTCAAACAAGCATTCACAGCCAGTCCAAGGGAAGAGCCCACTAAGGAGATGAATGGCGCCTTTCAGGCTAGAACAGTAAGCCTTACAATGAAGATCACAACTGTAATAACATTGGCTCTAGCATGGCTGGGGAGTCGCCGTGGCCGAGCGGCTAGACGCTCGCCGCGGATCGGAAGGTCGTGGGTTCGCTCCCTGGCGGAGCCGGACTTTTCAAAAATGACCTTGGCTCCCAGGTCGACCCAGCCTTGGCAGTCCCGGGAAGTAAAGGCGGCAGGCGTGATGCTGACTACATCACCCATCTTGTGCCGATTGGTCTAAAAAAATATAGGTCTAGACCTATATGCCCTATACGCATAAAGGCGTGGAAAAGGGTCCTTTACTTTACTTTTTTTACTAGCATGGCTGGATACTCAAAAGTCCCTACATGTGTGCATATCGTCTCAATGAACATACTCCAAACATTTAGACAAGCATTAACAGTTCAATAAACACACCGCCAACGTTTAGTGGAACTGTTATCCTTGTACCGGGTATGCCAGTATTCGAGGACACGAGTGTGCATTTTCTATGGTGGACACTTCGGATTCATTTTCTGGTCCTGTACTAGACAGAAATGATGATATATATATATATATATGTGTGTGTGTGTGTGTGTATGTGTGTGTGCGCGTGCGCGTGCGTGTGTGTGTCTGTCTGTCTGTCTGTCTGTATGTCTGTATGTATGCATGTATGCATGCATGCATGCATGCATGCATGCATGCATGCATGCATGCATGCATGCATGCATGCATGCATGCATGTATGTATGTATGTATGTATGTATGTATGTATGTATGTATGTATGTATGTATGTATGTATGTATGTATGTATGTATGTATGTATGTATGTATGTATGTATGTATGTATGTATGTATGTATGTATGTATGTATGTATGTATGTATGTATGTATGTATGTATGTATGTATGTATGTATGTATGTATGTATGTATGTATGTATGTATGTATGTATGTATGTATGTATGTATGTATGTATGTATGTATGTATGTATGTATGTATGTATGTATGTATGTATGTATGTATGTATGTATGTATGTATGTATGTATGTATGTATGTATGTATGTATGTATGTATGTATGTATGTATGTATGTATGTATGTATGTATGTATGTATGTATGTATGTATGTATGTATGTATGTATGTATGTATGTATGTATGTATGTATGTATGTATGTATGTATGTATGTATGTATGTATGTATGTATGTATGTATGTATGTATGTATGTATGTATGTATGTATGTATGTATGTATGTATGTATGTATGTATGTATGTATGTATGTATGTATGTATGTATGTATGTATGTATGTATGTATGTATGTATGTATGTATGTATGTATGTATGTATGTATGTATGTATGTATGTATGTATGTATGTATGTATGTATGTATGTATGTATGTATGTATGTATGTATGTATGTATGTATGTATGTATGTATGT